AATATCTAATTTACTCAAATTTTTCTTGAGATTTCTAATAATTAATGGGATCGTTAATTTTTTTTTATTGGAACTCTATAAATAAAATTTTTATAGTAGGTATTTATACTTATTATTCATTAAAATATCTTATTTACTCAAATTTTTCTTGAGATTTATAATAATTAATGGGATTGCTAATATTATTTTTATTGGAACTCTATAAATAAAATTTTTATAGTAGGTATTTATACTTATTATTCCTTCATATATCTTATTTACTCAAATATTTCTTGAGATTTTTTATAATTAATGGGATCGTTAATTTTTTTTATTGGAACTATATAAATAAAATTTTTATAGTAGGTATTTATACTTATTATTCCTTCAAACATCTTATTTACTCAAATTTCTTTAGATTTCTAATAATTAATGGGATCGTTAATTTTTTTTATTGGAACTCTATAAATAAAATTTTTATAGTAGGTATTTATATTTATTATTTCTTCAAATATCTGATTTACTCAAATTTTTCTGTTATTTCTGATATGGGATCGTTAATTTTTTTTCTTACTAAGAACTCCTTTAATAAAATTTTTATCGTAAATATTTATATAATATAATTATGGTTACATATGAATATTTCTTTTTATTTCAAGTGCATAATTACCGATATTTATTATTCATTTATCTTTAAGACATGTAAACAAAATATAAAAATAAAAAATGAATATATATATATATTAAAAGTGAATGTATATTTTAAAAATATTGATGGCTCTAAAAAGAGCTTATAGTAAAAATGCTCCTAAAAACAGGAATTATTTAAAAATTTCTAATTGGAGTTTTTGTTTAAGAAAAATTGATTCGCGTTTTTCGTTTGTAATGTTAAAAATTTTACGTGCTAAAATTTAAAAATAAAATATGTAGATTTTGAGAAATTGCCATTAGTTGAAATGACTATGGTTTGAAAAATAAAGTTATTTATTGTTGAGTATTTTTTAGTTTTTTTATTTTTCCCGCTAGTAAGAGGGTTTGAATTAATTGATGAGAGAAAGGAAGAGACGCAGGTTACATTAAATTATTATTGATTATGAAATTTTTCTGAAAATTCGCGAATATAATTTTATTTATTCATGCCTGTGTAGACAATATTAAAAATGTATTTTATAAGAATTTAATTACATATATATCAGGTTAAATAAAAAAAATAATTTTATAATAGTGCGCGAAACAATAATATAAACGTACAAAATGAAAGATGATAATTTTGAATTGAAATAAATTATACAAAAAATATAACAACAATAAATGTAAGTTATACTGATAAAAAAAATATAAAAAGGAAGGGTTTAGTGTACTATTCAAGCATTCCAATGTCATTAACATTATGATTAATATTATGAACTTTTACTATATAAAGCTCTCCACCAGGGGCGTCGCTAGCCTTTACAATCTCGGGGGGCTCAACTAAAAAAATTCCATGGGGGCTTCGCTCCCTCCCCATGCCCATAAATTTGCGGGCCTTTAGCCCTCTTTTGTCCGGCCGTCGGCCGGGTTTTATATTAATATATTATAATTTTTTTAAATTTGTTAACTCTGAACAATTATTCTGAATTTTAATTCTCATTTATTATATTATGCATACAAAATAAACTGGAATATAAATAATTAAAACAATACAATACATTTCTAAATATAAATTTTTTTTAATACAAAATCTATTTATTACAATATAAAATATTTTCGATTGTTAATATAAAAAAAATTTGCGTATAAAGTATTTCAAGTGATAAATTGATAATAGTTTTTAGAAACCACATTATGCAATAATATAATTCTTAACAACTTACATTGACAAATTGTTATCAAACTAATATAACTCTCTGTTACCATTTAATACATTTATAGAATGGACTAATAAGGAAAATTATATAGGCCTAAACCAAATCAACAATTCTTGAAGAAGAGAGTATAAACGACCAATCCAAATCATAAAACTATTAAGTGGTTAGCACTTCCTTTTAGATGACATGATGGTAGCTAGATAATTAATAGAGAAAATTATTGTGAGATATTAAATTTCTTAATGATTATCATCCATTTTAAATGATATATAATATATAAACGACTGCACAGTTGACCATTATTGTTTATCTAAAATATGCAATCATATGCTCTCAGCCGTTGTAGTAATAATCTTAAATTATATAGCAACACAAATAATTGATGCTAGTTAATTTGCAGTAATAGCCATGACACTCACGATGTTAACTAGTATCAGAATTTTTTATGTTGAATAAATTGATAAAATAAAAACACTAAAAATTTTGGAAGAATAATTGTGCATATTGAATTATACAAAGTAGTTTGTAAAAATATCAAAAATATACTTGTATTAAAAATTTAACTCAAAACTGTTTTTTGAAAAAGAAAAAAATAGCTTTCCTAACGTAAAAAAGAAAAAAAAAGATATCAAATTTATTATATCTATTGTAGGATGAATAATAAAATGTTTAATTTTTAAAATTATTTATAAGTAAATAGATGGCGTTTAATACTTGAAAGCAAATTGTTACTATATTTATTATCAAAAGCATTTATTAATAAAATTCATTTTAATATTAGCTGTAATATATAATAACTGCAGTGGCATTTTATCTAACATTTTATAAACAATTGTATATAATAGAGGATTATAAACTATATGTCTACTTACTTTTTATTATACTTATTTGGACCTTGAAAATATTTTTAGGAATAGGTATAATAAAATTTAAAAATAAATATACAGTTGATTAGTCATTTTGAACTCTGCTAATTACAATATTTTTTATAGGTTTATAAAATAATTTAAATAATAATAGTCCATTAAGCTTCAATTGTTAATGCTAAATTAATATTTAGTGAGGGATATTGATATTCTCAAAATTTGATTGCTAGCTGTCATAGTGAAAATATAATTTATATGTATTAATTTAATCTAATATTTAAAATAGTATTCATTTAATAAATATATAGATAGTCTTATTAATTTTAAATAATAAAATTAAATATATATTTGACTTAATAGAATTATAAAAGAAATCTTTAAGGGGCAATCAAAAAAAATTTTTAAGTTCAAGGGGTTAAGATTCCATTAAAAATTTTTTTTTGCTTCAGGGGGCTATGCAAATTTTCCAGGGGGCTCGAGCCCCTGCGCGCCCCCTCCTAGCGACGCTACTGTTCTCCATAAATGATGATATAGCAATAGTTGAGGAACATAACAGATTTTGAAATCGGCATCTACAATTATATATAATTTATATAGCATTTTTGAATAAAATATACCTTTTATTTTTGAATTCTAAAGTAAAGCTTCTTTTTTTTAACGGTAATATGGTTTGATTGAAATTGAAGCAATAAAATATGCATAAAAGCTTGTAAATTGAGTAATAAATAGCTGCAATATAATAATAAGATTTATGGAATATTGAATTATAAAATAAGGCTACTCTTCCTTTTTTTTACTGCAATATGGTTTAATTGAAAATGAAGATCTGCAATATAATATTCATAAATGCTTGTAAATTGAGTAATAAATAGCTGCAATATAATAAGATAAGTATTAAATTTACGGATTATTGAATTATAAAGTAAGGCTACTCTTTTTTTTATACTGCAATATGGTTTAATTGAATTTGAAGATCTACAATATAATATTCATAAATGCTTGCAAATTGAGTAATAAATAGCTGCAATATAATAAGATAAGTATAAAATTTATGGATTATTGAATTATAAAATAAAGCTACTCTTTTTTTTATACTGCAATATGGTTTAATTAAAATTGAAGATCTGCAATATAATATTCATAAAAGCTTGTAAATTGAGTAATAAAGAGCTGTAATATAATAAGATTTTTAAACATATAGTAAATATACTTTTACTGTTATTTAGCTTAATTGATAATAAAGAGCTGCAATATGATATTTATAAAAGCTTGTAAGTTGAGCAATAAAAAGCTGCAATATAAGATATTTAAACATAAAATAAATATACTTTTACTGTAATTTAACTTAATTGATAATAAAGAGCTGCAATATAATAAGATTTTTAAACATATAGTAAATATACTTTTACTGTTATTTAGCTTAATTGATAATAAAGAGCTGCAACATGATAATAAAAACTTGTAAATTGAGCAATAAAGTGCTGCAATATTAGATATTTAAACATAAAATAAATATACTTTTACTGTAATATAACTTAATTGATAATAAAGAGCTGCAATATGATATTTATATTAGTATGTAAATTAAGCAGTAAGCTTAAGATATTTGAGCATACAAAAAGATTAAAGATGAGCATGTATATTTTAAGCTTATCGAAATTTACCGACAAAATACCTAATTATAACTAAAAAATATTAAAGGCGGTACGATATGGATTGGCTCAACACTGCCATGGGTAGTATTTAGCATTAATCCCCCTGATTCTTGCAGATTTAAATGTTTATAAATGAAATTGCTCAACTTTTAAATTTCCAAATTATATATGACGTTATCACATATAAAAAACATATTATAATCGCGGAAGGAGGTTATTTAAAAGTTTTCAATCGTCACAATGAAGTTTGTTTTCAGATTAAAGTTTTTGATAATGAAATAATATATTTATTAAAAATCTTTGGTAATTTCTTATATGTCATTGGTCAAAGATACCTTCACACTTACAATTTAAGTATTACTGATGAAAAAATTGAAATTATTAAAAAAAGATCAGAAGCCTTTAATGATTGGATTTTACATTTTTTCCCTTATTTAAAAGATAACATAATTATATTACGTAATAATCGGATTATTATCAATAATGTAATTGACAATACTTATAATGATATAAGTACCCAAAATGAATTGATCTACTCTGCATGTTCAGATTGTGCAATAAATAATATATGCCTAACTGGTTCTCCACTTGGTTATATTAATTTATATGTATTAAATTTTGATAACCTGATAAAATTTGAAAAATATCAAGCTCATAATGGGGCTGTATTTCATATTGATATTAAAATTGCATTAATGACCATTGTTACCTCATCAGAAGATCGTAGTATTATAGTATGGAATATAGAAAATTCTACTCTCTCAAAAAGGAATATTTTATATGGTCACAAAGCTAGAATTCATAAAGCAATCATATTGAATATTGACATTCATTTAAGTGCAGGAGAAGATGGAAAGATTATTTTATGGAAAAATGGCCAGGTAACAAATTTTACTTTTTTATATGCTATTAATAAATAAATTAGAACTTTGATTTGAATATAAATTTAAATTACATTATGTTTATTTTATCTATTTTGATAAACTTAAAGTATATTACATTATTACACAAACAATTCTTTAAGTACAAATATTGCATTTTCATACATTTTATTATTTAGTGTGAAAATCCATTTATATAATTATTATGTTGTGTTATTATTGTATTTATTTCTTTTTGTATATTAACAAGATAATTGTTTATAATAAAATTTTCCTCACAAAATAATTTCACTTCTAAAAATTAAATTGCTAGCTGTACACTTTATTTTTGGATAATTTTTGGAGTGAGTTTTTAAATTTTAAGAATATTATTTTGTTGGAAATACATTTTAACATGTGTATAAAACCTACTCTAAGTTTTTTAGAAAATTTTGAAATGAACTTATGAACTTAAGAAAATATATTCGTTTTTTATAGATTTTTTAAATAAATTGTAAATGATTCAAAAGAACAGCACAATTGTTTGAAATTCATAGGGTGAGTATTTTGAACATGCTGTAGTATATTTCCAGTATTATTGGATTTAAAAAATTCGCTCAAATTTAAAAATTTGAAAAAATAACACAATGATGGGAATTTTTCATGATAACAATTCTCCTCTCTTGCAAATTCGCTTAAGGTATTGCCATGGAGATAATAGAATTGCATTATTCATCTAAAAACTAAATTTTAACCTTAAAATTTATCGTAGAGGATTGATTTGATTTTAAAAATCAATTTTAATATCTTTGTAGCAAACTTTATTTCAAAATGCAGGATCACGATTTCGACGTGAAAATAAATGGCGAAAATGTAAATTGAATTAATGAAAATTTAAAAATCTTTAAGCCACTTTAAATTATTTTAAATAATAATCAATATTTTTTTATTAATTTTAAAATTAATTATTAATTGCAAAAATTAATTATAATTTATAATTCTGAGCATATTATAATAATTACTTTTGCTATGTCAAAGTCTTGTTTCAATTCTAAAATAAATATTGTATAAGCTAAAGTGAATCAATTCTCATTAAATTAATTATCGATTATATAAATTCGCTAGCGGATTTAAATATTATCTATGCTCATATTATTTATAACGAAATTTTTTTAAATATAAAATTTAGGTTAATAGTATATGTAATAGTCCAAATAATACCGCACTAAGTGCGTTGCATTTTGATGTTGAAGAAAACCTTGTGTACGCTGCATCAATTAATGGAACGCTAATATCTTGCTTAATCGATTTAGACTCGAGATTCTTATCAGATAATGATAAATTTATAAAATGTTTAAACATTCGATACCTCAATTTTATCGATTCCCACAATCTATTAATAACAACTTATAATTGCGATTTATTTATTTATAATGTTTTAACAGAATCAATAACTCAAAAAATTATCGAAAACGATCCGTGGTTATCTTCCTGCACGATCATACGCCTTGCGAAACGTGACGATCGCATTATCATCGCGTTAGGGGATAAAGATGGTATTCTAAAACTTTTTGAAATTAGTATAAATGACTCATCGTTTATTGTTAATAACAGGTTCCGATTGGAAATATTTAAGAAAGACAAACTAACTGGCCTCTTTTGGGTCGGTTTAAATACTCTCTACATATCCAGTTATTCGGGACTACTGATAAGGGCTAACCTATCAAATGTTGGAAATATTAATCTCGAAATTAATGTAGCCATGAAAATTCATCAAAATTTACATTGCAATCATTTATGGGTATCTGCACTAATAGCCTATAAACTAAACGAATCGACAGATTTATTATTTTGCGGCGACCGTAAAGGTTATCTTCATTTACTAAAATTAAGCAATTTCTTCTCCGAATATTTGCCCTTACAAACTATCGAAAACATTCACGGTTCTCGAGGCTTAAGTGATATACAATTGTGTAAAGATAATAATATACTATATACCACAGATAGAAACGGAGTTCTAAGAGAATATTATTTTTACCAAAATGGCGAAAAATTTATATTTCTTAATAGCCAAAACTTTTCAAAATCGATAGAAATAATTGAAAAAATCATAATCAAAAATAATGTTTATGATGATACACAAAATAAATTCACCTTACTATTAGGATTTATGGGACGAGATTTTGTGTGTTACAACACGACAATAAATAATATATTGTTTAAAGTATGTTGCGGGGGTGCTCATCGTTCTTGGGATTATTTGATACCCGATGATGACACAAATTTATTTTTAGCCTTTATTAAAAAAGATATGTTTAGTTATCATTCCCGGGAACTAAAAAAATATGTTCCCAAGTTATTAAAAAAGGGATTGGATATGACGTACATTAATTCCGCAAAATTCATTAAAAAACTAATAAACTCTGCCTTTTTCATATTAATTATGCCTTTAGTAGGAGTGCCTAAAATACTGGTAATAATATTTGATAGCCTTGCTTATGAAATTTTTGATATAAAAGGGAATTATCATTCAATACTCGATTTATTTATTGTACCCAATAATGGAATAAAAACGGATTTTGTTAATTATTTATTTTTTACCTGCGGAGAAAAATCAGAATTTTGTGTTCAAAGCCTAATGATTTTTCAGGATAATAAGATGGTATTCAACGAAATCATCATAAAAACCAAATTAAATAGGCTAATTAAAAAGTTGCAAGGGGCTAGACTCACATGCCTAGATGGATATATTTTAGAAAAAGAATATTATGATGTAATATTAATTTTAGGCTCATCAAATGGGACACTAATCAATTTAAATTATTCTAGACTCCATAAAAAGTATATCATTTATAAATCCTGGCAGGCTCATGATCACTGCATTACCAAAATTAAAAATATTCAACTAATTGATAATAATTATATCATATCTATCGACAACACGGGAGTCATTAAAATTTGGAGTATGATGACTATTTTTGTCATCGATCAATTAGACATCATGCCAATTTATTCGTTTTTACCGCAAGAGTCTATTATAAATTACGAAGTGATAGAATATTTAAATCCCGAAAAGATTTGTTTGATAACTGGGAGTGAGAGCGGTTCGATATTTGCGACTTTATTAAAGATTAACAAATGCTGTATTAACACGATCCTTAAAAACTCAATAAAATCCGCCCATTTAAGCAAAATAATAGATTTAAAAAGTTTCAAAATTATCGAAAACGGTTTGAAGAAAGTTTATATTGCTTCAATCTCTCTCGATAAAAAATGTAAAATATGGTCATTTGACAATGAAGGGTTAAATTTTGATATCATTAAAATATTTGATGTTTGTACATGTGATATTACGGGTATAGATTTGATGCATATTGATGACCCATATATCGTAATATATGGTGCTGGATTAGAACTTTTTAGGATTAGCTTTCGAAAATAGCCTATGATAATATAATTGCCACATTCAAATCGTTAATATTGTTTAATATATTAACATTGTGATCTCTATATTATAAAATAATATTTCAATAAATCATGTAGAAGTGATTGTTAATTGATATTAAAATCATCTTGTTTAATTAATTAACTTGTGCTTGCGTAGATTAATGATTTCTCCCAATATCTATTTTCTGAATCCAACTAATTTTTAGTTCATATGAAAAATTACTGTGATAAATTTAAAATAGATTGTATAAATAATTATAAAGGCTATGGTTTGGATAAAAATTGCAAAGATTTATTAGGGTTTTAAATTTTTTCACGAAATTTGAAAATATTAGTGTTATTAAATAAAATATGAATATTTGATTACTTTCTAAAAAAGATAATAATATACCTGCCAGTTTTAGTTACAGGAAAAAGTAAAGTGTAATAAGTGATTTATATCACTTTTGCTATCTATTGTTGAAAGTTCAACAGAGCTACGCTAGGTGCCAGTTTTAGTTACAGGAAAAAGTAAAGTGTATAAAGTGATTTATATCACTTTTGCTATCTATTGTTGAAAGTTCAACAGAGCTACGCTAGGTATTCCTCATTTCCATCTAACTGGAAAATTAAGTTGGGTAAAAAGTTAAAAATGAGGAGCCCTCTACTGTGGGAAAGCCGCACGTACTTGTACGCACAAACAAGGTTTCGAACCATGTAGTATAGCGGTTCATTTCGTTTCGGTTTTTAGTTTGAAATTTTCTAAAGGTTTTGTTCCATTCCGGTTTTTGTTTTAGAAATTTATATCGACTCGTTCCGGTTTCGAATTTATAACGGTTCTTTTCCGTTCGTTCCGGTTTTTATAAATTTGATTTTATAAAAAATTAATCTTATAATTTAGCATATAAAATGTAAAACTTGCTATTATTTTTAACTCAATAAACACTTAAATAAAATAAAAATAATTTAATGCAATGCTAGTTAATTTATTTGTAAATCTATATTTATTATTTTATGATTAAAAACAAAAAATACAGATTAATAAATTATATGATTTTTCCCTAAATTAAAAGCAAGTATTATTATACTAATAAATAAAAATATATGTATATTATTATATAAGAATAAATTTGTTAATTTAGCCAAAAATAGCCTTAGTTGTAGTGTTGTTAATCGGCTTAGCCGAGTCGGCTCGAACGCAGCTCACCCAAATTTTGGGTCGTTTTTTTCGACTCTAACTCAAAGTTTTGGTCGTTTTTTACGACTTCGACCCGAGTTCAAGCCGAAAAAAATGACTTCGACCCAAAATATGGGTCGTTTTTTTCGACTCCGACCCAAGTCCAAGCCGAAAAAAACGACCTCGACCCAAAATATGGGTCGTTTTTTACGACTCCGACTCAAAATTTGGGTTGTATTTTTCGACTCAAACTTGAAATTTGGGTCGTATTTTTCGACTCAAACTTGAAGTTTGGGTCGTATTTTTCGACTCAAACTTGAAGTTTGGGTCGTATTTTTCGATTCAAACTTGAAGTTTGGGTCGTATTTTTTGACTCATACTTGAAGTTTAGATCGTATTTTTTGACTCAAACTTGAAGTTTAGATCGTATTTTTCGACTCCAACTCAAAGTTTGGGTCGTTTTTCTGACTCAGACTCAAACATCGGGTCGTTTTATTCAATCCGACTCAAAATATGGATCTTTCTTTTTAAAGACGACTTAAAGTTAGGGTTGCTTTTTTTCACCCTTAACCCAATATCTAGATCATTTTTTTTGACCAAAAGTCAAATAACATTTAGTATATATTAATATTATAGGCGGGAAAGTTACTTAAAGCTTCTTTAAATTATAATGCTCTGGATTAACTATTCATCATAGTTATTTTTTAAAATTTTTAAGTGAAGATGCACCATAGAAAAGAGCCATTTGTTATGATGCTTATTTTTGAACTTTTTTAAATGAAATAGATGAAAATATATATTGTAGACATGTTAAATCAAAATTTCAGTGAAGATGTACCATAGATAAGTGACAATTGTCATAATCGCCATTTTTGAACTTTTTTGAGTTTTTTTAAAGCAAATTGCTAAAAATATATATTCTAAACATGTTGAATTAAAAATTCAGTGAGGATGTATCATAGATAGGTGACAATTGTCATAATCGTTATTTTTGAACTTTTTTCAAATTTTTAAAGCAAATAGCTAAAAATATATATTCTAAACATGTTAAATTTAAAATTTGTGAGGATGTATCATAGATAGGTGACAATTGTCATAATCGCTATTTTTGAACTTTTTCAAATTTTTTTAAAGGAAATATCTAAAAATATATATTCTAAACATGTTAAATTAAAAATTCAGTGAGGATGTATCATATATAGGTGACAATTGTCATAATCGCTATTTTTGAACTTTTTCAAATTTTTTTAAAGGAAATATCTAAAAATATATATTCTAAACATGTTAAATTAAAAATTCAGTGAAGATATATCATAGATAGGTGACAATTGTCATAATCGCTATTTTTGAACTTTTTCAAATTTTTTTAAAGGAAATATCTGAAAATATATATACTAAACATGTTAAATTAAAAATTCAGTGATGATGTATCATAGATAGGTGACAATTGTCATAATCGCTATTTTTGAACTTTTTCAAATTTTTTTAAAGGAAATAGCTAAAATTATATATTCTAAACATGTTAAATTAAAAATTCAGTGAGGATGTATCATAGATAGGTGACAATTGTCATAATCGTTATTTTTGAACTTTTTTAAAGGAAATAGCTAAAAATATATATTCTAAACATGTTAAATTAAAAATTCAGTGATGATGTATCATAGATAGGTGACAATTGTCATAATCGTTATTTTTGAATTTTTTCAATTTTTTTTAAAGGAAATAGCTAAAAATATATATTCTAAACATGTTAAATTAAAAATTCAGTGAGGATGTATCATATATAGGTGACAATTGTCATAATCGCTATTTTTGAACTTTTTTTAAAGGAAATAGCTAAAAATATATATTCTAAACATGTTAAATTAAAAATTTAAGAGGATGTATCATAGATAGGTGACAATTTTCATAATCGCTATTTTTAACATTTTTTAAAGAAAATAGCTAAAAATATATATTCTAAACATGTTAAATTAAAAATTCAGTGAGGATGTATCATAGATAGGGGACAATTGTCATAATCGTTATTTTTAAACTTTTTCCAATTTTTTAAAGCAAATAACTAAAGATATATATCCTAAACATGTTAAATTAAAATATCAGTGAGGATGTATCATAGATAAGGGACAAAAAATGTTATTATATATACGAGTAGTAAGGTACATAATAATTTTTGAGTGATAAAATGAGATGCTAATATATTTCTTGTAATTTTAATTTATAAAAAAATTCTTAAATATGTTATTGTCATAGACTGGGTCAGAAAATCAACTATCACATAAACTCATCTATGTTTTATTCATATTATATTTTTAAGTTTAAGGATATTAAAATATTTCCTCTTTGAAGTTTCTAGTTAGGATAAAATTTACTTGGCACATCTTACAATGATATTTATACCTTGTTTTTTTTTTCGAGAATAAATTTTATGCGATATCTCATGAAGGAAATTACATATCATTGTACAGAGAAATAACTTTGTATATATTATCTGCACCAATATCTTTTATATCAATCTCTATCGATGACATTTTAAATTATATTGGAAACTAGATTGTGTAGATTTCTAAATATTAATTTAAAGGATTAAGATTTTAGAATTAATTATAAATATATCTTAATAATTTTTATATTGCATTTAATATTTAAAATCTCTCGTTTTAAGCCTATTTAGCAAGAAAAATATTGACTAATCCTGAAATTACGATAATAGATATCTATACCTTTATATAATCTATGAGAAAAATTGCTCTCATAATATTCTTCTTAATAAAATAGTGAATAATTAACGCCTGAAAAAAAGTATAGCGCTTTATAACATGGTTCAAAGTTAATCCCAGTATCAATTTTAATGTGTAATTTTTCTCAAGTGTTCAAAATTCTAAATCTTAATATCAAAAACTATTTTAGTTATCAATTTAAAGTCAAATAATATTAAAACACTAATATTCTACAGTATTCATAAAAAACAACAGCCTGAAACAAGAATAGTAAGCTCAAAACATCTTAAATATTTGATACATTTATAGTTTAAATATTTTTATTTAAATTATATATATTTATTAATGTACAAAAAATTTAATTTAACAATATATATAGATATAAAAATTATGTATAAAATTTATTATTCATGATATTGATATCCCATGAATTTAAACATAAACACTGTTTAAGTGTTTCGGAGGCCATGCGATTTCTTTTCTTTGTTACGGTGTCCACCCCTCTTGAGAAGACACGCTCGCTCTCAACGGATGTACTTTGCTGCGACAAAAAATCTTTAGCCATCATGCAAAGGTACGGAAAACGCTCAGAATTACAGCTCCACCAATCCAACACTGTAGTCGTTGCTGAGACTACTGGATCAGCTAGGTATTCGGCGATCTCGTTCACCATTGGAACTAACGAGGCTTTCCTAAAAATATAAAATAAATTATTAAAATTAAATATATCAACTTTGAGAAAATTTAAAATAGTTATAGAATATTAAATATATACCTTCTCAGACTATTTAAGATAGTTATTGACATCATTTCACAATTATCGTCTTTTTCTGATATTTCTGGCGATATATTACACCGGTATTTACCATATAAAGCAATCAATTTTTCATAATAACATTCTTTGTTCATCCATAAAGGTATGAATGTTTTCTTGATACGTGGATCAAGAAAACTACACACATATATTTCGAAATTGTCCATAATATTGATATATTTTTGGCATTTAGCCAACATAGATCTAGACGATTCTACTATAACATTATTATTACTGGTTTCAATACTTGTTACCAGTAATATTTGAATCGTATCTAAATATAGTGCATACATCCCTATTGTAGA